TGGCTGAATTTTACGGAGACTTGCCACGGTCTCCAACCCTCCTCCTTTCTCATCCGGGCTTGGGACCGGAGATGGCGGAGTTCTCATCCGGGCTTGGGACCGGCCATGGCGGAGTTTTATTTTTTCCATCGTTAACAACTTGTTGTTTTGCAGTTTTATGCCTTTGACCTCATTTATGTATTCCGTTCATCTTTCTCTGCTTGGAAAGTAAAGTTTCTCCTTGTCTTCCCATTTAGCCTCAAAGGAGGACCTATATTGATGATAAATTTTAAGCTTAACAAATTTATGTTTATATGACTGATATGTTCATTCACTATGATAATGTTTATCTTGCGTGGTAAAGCCTCTGCTTCAGTTGTTGCTATTTTCATCAATATTAAAGGCAAACAAAACTTAAATAGCCGAGTAGCTTACGTTCATTATTACTGACGGTTAGAAATTAGGAAACCAGAGCTTGGATGATAGGCACTTCAAAATGTAAAAATTTCATAGAACACGATCCCTTCTCAAAGCGAAACTTGCATGGCCTAGTCACGTGAAAGAGGCGAAATATCAAGGATGAGGATCGTAAGTCTATCGGACAGCAGAAACGTAGTGCTACAGAAGGCGACTGTTGTAAATCTCGCTGAAGGACCTAAAAACGAAAGAACTTATCTTAGAGCAGTCTAAAGCACATAACACCAAATAAAACATTTGGGCCACTCTAAAGAATAGGTGGGGACTTACTGGAGAAAACAGTTTTACAAGGACAACATGTTCGCAGATAGGAACACAGACTGAGAAGAAGACTGAAATAACATCGGGAACTGGACAAAGAATGCAAATCATTTACTGGGTAAAGCCAATTATCAAACAAGATGAGGATAGTATGGATTTATGAACCATAAAATCTACCCTCTCAAAGCGAATGATACTACACTATCTAAAATTAAACAATATGATATGCTTCATGGGTATTATGTTCCACTGATCCCTGAAACAGAAAGCCACTGTACAAGTTCAGGTTTAAGAGGAGATATGCTTCATAGATCTAAGGGTATCGTGCCTGAAGTACGATGCGTATAAAACCGTGACTGGACCGATTGATGCACGTGAAGAACTATCAACATGCTCGATGTGCACAAGAATAGAAAGCATCAGTTCAGATTTAATCTTTCCTTCATATTAGAACATTCTGGAAAATTCCAAAAAATTAAAAGAACAGACCATCATACCTCTACGCAATGCATTTTGTGCGTCAGCGGTCATCGCGTCTGCCTCATCCAAAATGATCAACTTGCAACCCTTGTTGAATATAGTCCTTGTGCTGCAGAAGCTGAGAATCTGTTCGCGCACCACGCCAATGCCGCGGTCGTCAGAAGCGTTCAGCTGAAAATTCAGCGATTAATATACGGATATCGTATGACTGTAGTAAAACAAACTTCCAAAACCATAGAGTTAAACTCATTCTTTGAGTATAACTGTTGAGCTATGGCGAAAATGGTACTCGTCTTGCCAGTGCCTGGAGGACCATAAAACAGCAGGTGGGGCAGCTTGTCTTCTTGAAGAAATCGGTTAACTGTAAACATACATTGATTAAAGCAATGCTACGTCTCAGGATTCAACTGATTAGCCCTTACTTGTAGCCAAGACATCCTGGTGAGATATCAAGTCTTCAAATCGTTTTGGTCGATATTTTTCAACCCTGAAATATGCTGTGTAAACAACGGACAAGGTAAAACCCAAAATGGAATCAGATTTCACAAATGCAAACAAGAAAATGACTATAGAGCACTAAGCTCGAATTGAAGGCGTCAGTATGCTTCCATAAAAGTTGTAATATTATTTAGGGACTTAGTAATAAAGCTGTTTAAAAGATTAAATATTTAAATCATTTACGCTTTTATAAGCAACTTGAAAACCGTCTTTTGTGATGTCTTTTAGGCGCCTTAAAATAATATAGAATATAATAATTCCACATTGCACTAAAGTGCTTCAACAATAAAACTGTCAATTGCCGAATCAGACAGAAAATTTTTTCAGAAATACAAAAGAACGAAACTTCATAAGACATTTGTAAAAATCCTTTTCCATCAGTCGGTCGGTCATTCAGTCAGCCAGCCAGCCAGTTGGACAGTCAGCCTGGATAACAGTATGTCTTTAGAGTCGCGGAGGCCGACCCGTCATACAGTGTCTGCAACGTTCCCGATTCTGCGCTAGCGTTTGTACTTCGGCAAAAATAGCCTCAGTTCTGTCGAGACACTTGCCCTATGGCATTCATGGCCTATTACCGTCAACAATCTTTCAAATAATAGCTGTCTCGCGTTCCTTTCTCGAAAAATTTGCAAAACATGCATTTGCAAAACATGCCTAAACGATCGCAAGATCTGACGTCCAGTCTGGAGAAGCAGTGGCAATACACCAGGCTTTCTCCGGACAACTGAACTCCGAACTCGATCCTGGTTATCAATGTAACAAAATACGATAATCCAGCGTGACTTAATACAATCCTTATCTGGGAAGTGAAATCTTATCATCATTTTCGCACATTTTGCTGTTCTAGTTATGTATCAAGAGAATGAGCCATTTATTAAAACACACTATCAGCGGCACAAAAATCACAAAGAATTTGGAAATAAAAGGTAGAAACATGTGTGAATAATATTAGAAATACAGAAATCAATAAAACAGAAATAACAGAAACTTATTACAAAAAAGAGTCAAACAGGCAAGCATACAAACAGCCCAAGTGGTGGTATACTAAATGTTATACTAAGGCTCATTTGTCCTCACTCCAGCTGCGCATCATGGCGAAATCTCAGCAAGATATAGCCGATCTCATGAACGGTAATCTCGTAATTCAAAACATGCCAAAAAGACCCTGTTGCCCAGTCCCTAATGGGCAAACCGACTGAATTATTAACACTGGAAAATAGCATCAAAATATTCTTAGTTCAGACCATTCGTGGTGATAAAGATGCCCAACCAAATGGGTGAACGGCTAATAGTAGAAATTAGATACAGTTTTAACTCTCAACAGAATATTCTCATTTATGAATAAACATTAAATACGAAGCAGAGGCAAAATGGAGAAGATAGAGGGAAGAAAAGGACGAAAAACGTATATTGCCTTTAAAAAAACACGAGGCACAGAATGCTCCTTGAAAACCTAATTGAAGATACAGAACGCTGATGATGAAGAATGTTCCAGCCGAAATATAAACAGCCTCTTCTGTTCGTTTAATATTTGCCTGAGTTCAAAAACACTAAAAACAGTCACAGTGGGCACTACGCTGTAAACAAAGAGACAGCAGAAAGCTGAAACCCCACCTTTCTAAACTTTAAACGATACTAACTTAAAATTTTAAACGCTAACAATCTGAAAACAGTTCATCGACGATTCATCACCTTGAAATATTCAACCCAAGACATAGTGAAAAGAAATTTCGGCTGTCTTAATTGATTCTCACCAAAAAGGATTCACAGAAATGCTAAGATATGCCACAGTTCATTACGCGACCTATTAGTCATCATTTGTGCAATTATACTTATTTAGAATGCATCTAACACTTCGTATTTATATTCTGAACTATCTGGAATATCTATGTGAATTGGAAGCCTTGCTTGGTTTGCTGAAAAACGAAAAACAGAAAGGATACGTTTACGAAATCTTTCTCGTATGGGAACT